TTGGAGCTTTGAAAACAACAGGAGCAGAAGAGCAAGGAGAGCCCTCCAAACAGAAGGAGAGAGAGAGGAAGATGGATGGACTCTCAGGACAGAGTGAGAGAACCCTCTGCTCTGGCCTGGGCAGCACAGGGGAGGGCAGCAGGGGGGCTTAAATTGAGGCTACATTGTGGAGGGTCTTGAAATTCTGGCTAAGATGTTTAGAATTATTCTATAGGTAATTCAGAGCTACTGAAGATTCCTGATGAGGAAAAGGGGATGATGAGAACAGTGTTATAGAAAACTTTACCTAGGGTGAGGTACAGAGTGGATTAAAGAGGAAGGGGAGGGAAAAGACTGAATGAAGCTTGGGTAAATGGTTAGATGGGCAAGCTAGGGGGTGCCAGTAGTGCACAGAGCACTGAGCCTACAGTCAGGAAGACTCATCTTCCTGAGTTCAAATCTGGCCTCTGACACTTACTAGTTATGTGACTGTGGGCAAGTCACTTAACCCTCCTTGCCTCAGTTTCCTCATCTGTAAAGTGAGCTGGAGAAGAATATGGCAAACCTCACCTTTGCCAAGAAAACTCATGAAGAGTCAGACACAACTAAACGCAACTACAAATCGTTAGGTGCCCTCTGATCCTTCCTCCAACTGTGCAAATGATCCTCCTAAATGCATAGATTTGACTGTCATTCCCTCCTCAAAAATTCTCAGTGCCTTCCTATTCTGTATGGGATAAAAGTCAATAGAGCTCTGGGCCTGCAGTCAGAAAGACTTGAGTTCAAATCCAGCCTCAGAAGTTTAATAGCTGTGTGACCCTGGGCAAGGCACTTGACCCCCATTTGCCTCAGTTTCCACAACTGTAAAATGGAAATTGTAATAGTACCTACTTGCTAGGCTTATTGTGAGAATTAAATGAAATAATGCTTGTAAAGCACTTAACACAGTACCTGTCACATGGCAGATACTATAGAAGTGCCAGTTATTAGTATTATTATCATCTGGCTCCAGCTTACTTTTCTATCATCCTTTCAGACTATTGCACACTGCATTACAAGCAAATTAACTACTAGCTATACTCTAAACTCAACCTGCTATTTTCTTGCCTTTGTGTACCCCTCAGGTGACATCCCTCACACTTGCTCCTGCTTTCTCTCTACCTGTTCTAATCCTTTTGTTTAGAAGGCCTACCTTCACCAACCCACCCAATTCAGGGGGTTTTCTCCTTCATATTTTGTGAGAGCATTTTGGATCTTTCCTTTGCCTTTAGATCCCACACTCAACCTTGCATTATAATTATTATGCAATGTATGTACAGTGCCTTGGGCTTAGTAGGCATTTAGTAAATGTTTGCTGATTTGAGGTTGATGTCAGTATTCTGATGGGAGGGAAGATGGGTTGAACCTGACTCCTGGATAGTTCTGGGGAGGTGGAGGGGGTGGGGCATCTAGCGAGAGAGAGAGAGAGAGAGAGAGAGAGAGAGAGAGAGAGAGAGAGAGAGAGAGAGAGAGAGAGAGAGAGAGAGAGAGAGATTGAATCAAAGATGCCTTGGAGGTTTTGAGGCTGGCTGACTGAGAGAATAATGGCTCCACTTACAGAAACAGGGAAGTCAGAAGAAAAGTTAAAAGTTTTAACTCATCTCTGTGCTCATGTATCAGTCTTCTGAGCTTGCCAGATTCTTTTGTAGTTGTTGTTGTTCAGTCGCGTCCAACTCTTTGTGAGCCCATTTGGGATTTTTTTGGCAAAGATACTGAAGTGGTTTGCCATTTCCTTCTCCAGGTCATTTTACAGATGAGAAAACTGAGGTAGATAGGGTTAAGTGACTTGGCCAGGGTCACACAGCTAGTAAGTGTCTGTGGCCAAATTTGAACTCAGGTAGATGGATCTTTCTGACTCCATACCCAGTGCTCTGTCCACTGCACGACATAGCTGGCCTTCAAATTCTTTTAGGGTTCAACAAAGAGAGAGCACTAGGACAGTCAGCACATATATCAGATATTAAATAGAAGGAATCAGAAAAGGATACTGAGGATTTAAAGCTACATCAATTAGTCAACAAGTGCGTATTAAGAGCCTACTGTGTGCCAGGAGCTGTCCCAGGCAAGGGAATACCAAAAAAAAAAAAAAAAGGAACAGTCACTGCCTACCAAGAATTTACATGCTATTGAGAGAGACAAGATGCAGTCATCCTTGGCCCTAAGACTCCTGAATCTGGAGGATACAGGAGATTCATCTGGTGGGAAGGGCTCTGAAGCATTTGGGACAGAAGTTGAAGTTGAATAATTCAATTCTCCCTTGTTGCCTACCTATTATCATCGCAATAGAGGAAGTGTCTGCAAAGCGTAGCATCACCTGTTTCTGATCATCTGTCACATTGGTGATAGGTTAGACCCTAAGTGGGGATAGGTTAGACCCTAAGTGGGGATAGGTTGGGCCTTAAGGATTCTTAATCTCAGGCTATATCCTCCACTCGCTGGCTCTGTATTACACCAGTAAATAGCACTTGGGCTCTTCACCCTCTGTTCTGACAAGTAGATGGGGACATGTAAACAGAGACCCTCCTGGAAGCTTCTAGAGCTTCCAAAAGAGAGGATCTTTCAGCCCAGATGCTTAGGATTTTGGCTGAGAGGGAATGAGATCTGGCCACTGCTGGAAGTTTAGGGGTCACCCAGAGACTCTGGAACAGAGAGAAGCTAAATCAATAAATTCAATTATTACATAACTACAAGATGTAAGTGCCAATGACTGCTCAATAATGGAATGCACAAACAACATTTAAGAGAGGAAGAATGACTGTATATGACATTATTCCAGGCAGGGACTCGCTGACCACTTCTTGACTAGAAATGGTACCATTAAAATCTGTTCCTCATCAGAATCCAACACCGATATTTTCAGAGATGGTTCTTGAGCCTCATGGTTCGCTCTACTAACCACCACAGTACAAAAGAAGAATCATACCACCTTGATGAGCATTTTCTCCAAATTTCTGGCCAACAACAAAATAGTGGTCTCTCTTCATTTTTCATTACTTTCTCACCTATTTTAATCACAAATGTAAGTGACCAGAAATGAGAAAGTAATGACTCATAGAGTATTTATAGGACACATACAGCAGCCTGTCTTCATTCTGAAAATAATGAAAACAACAGTAATATAGCTAACACATAATGCCTACTATGTGCCAGGCACTGTGCTAAGCCATTTGCAATCATTATCCCATTTGATCCTCACAACAACTCCAGGAGATCGGTGCTATTACTCCCCCCATTTTACCGATTAGGAAACTGAGGCAAACAGGTTGAGTTGCCTAGGGTCCCCAGCTAATAAGTGTCTGAGGCCCCACTTGAATGCAGGTTTTAAATGACAGTGCTGTACGTGGCAATGTTGCTGAAAAAGAAACCCAAAACCTTTCTGAAAGAAGTGTGTACCAATATATCTACACCCAATAAATTGCTAATCAGAGGTGGCTGCCAGATGTTTAAGAAGAGGCATACCCAGGCATTATAATAGTCTCAGCTTCCACCAATATTCCTCATCCTGTTTACATGCATGAGCTACACATAGTACCCCTTTCTTAATTCCATTTACTACATAAATTTGCTTACCTGCAGACTTTCTCTGAAATACACACACACACACACACACACACACACACACACACACACACACACATATATACACACATTGTATGTGTATATATACATATAAATTTCCATATATATTTAACAATTTTTCATTATCCTCTTTTTTCAAAGTATCTTCCAGCCTCTATGCATTGGGCAGGGTACATGGTTCAGTGGGAAGAGCTCTTTCTGACTTTGGAGAAAGAAAAACTGAGTTTGAATACTGGCTGTTACACTTTCTACTTCTACATCCTTAGGTAAATCACCTAAAGTCACTGGGCTTCATTTTCCTCATGGGTAAAGTAAGGGGCTTGGACTAGATGAGCTCCAAAGTCTCTTCTAACTCTAAATCTATGATCCTATTGTGGAATTCCCAGTACCCCCCCCCCCCAGAGATAGCATAGTGCAGATTGTTTCATTATTTATATTTATGTCTCTACTACTCATCACAGGACCTGGTGATTATTTAGTGCCATTATTGCAGATGGATAAGTTAAAAGCACAAAGAAGTCTAAGTGACCTCCCCTTAAAGAGGACGTCATTTTTGACCTTGTATTCCCAACATATAGAACAATATAGCAAGTGTTTAGTAATAATGGCCAATATTTTATAGTGCTTTAAGGTTTGCAAATCACTTTACAAATATTTTTCATTTTATCCTCACAAAAAAATCTTGAGAGGTAAGTGACATTATTATCCCCATTTTATAGATGAGGAAATTGAGGCAGGCAGAGGTAATGTGATTTGCCCAAAGTCACAAAGCTAATAAGACTGGTTTTCTCTGAGGCTGGATTTGAGCTCAGGTCTTCCTGACTCCAGCTCTAGCACTCTTTCTACTGTGCCAACTAGCTGCCGCTAATAAATTAATAATATCAATAACAACAGACAGTACTGATATAGCACTTACTATGTGCCAGTCATTGTGCTAAGCACTTTACAATTATTATCTCATTTCATCCTCACAACAATCCTAGGAGAGGTAGGGTGTTATTATTTTCCCCATTTTTTACAGATGAGGAAACTGAGGCAGAAGCCAAGTGATCATTAATTAGTAGAGCAATAAGATTAGAGCTCAAGTCTCCAGATGCTTACTTAAAATGTTTCCTTGAGACCATCCTGTCTCCTTCTTTGAATCAATAAAAGCAGAGTTTAGCATCAAGAGTAAGGTAAGTCTTGCCCACAGTAACCTTGCCCATGTCAGCAGCCCCTTGGCACCTTTAGCTGGGCAGCTATGCTGAGGATACCATCTAGCTGCAGTCAGTGCATGCTTTAAAAATGAGCAGTCATGATAATCTCACTAGCTTTTTCTTCTTACTTAGCCTAAGAGGTTTAAGTGGCTGTTTAGGGGCACAGTTGAATTTCAAGTTTCATTTAGGAGTCGGTGCATCCCAAAGAGAAAGCTGTTAAGCCTGGGAATCCCAATGGGGGGCAAGGAATCAGTAGCCAGCGGTCAAACCGCTATCACTGCTATCCAGACCCATGTATGGTTTAGGAGATTTATGACAGAATGCCCATCTGGACTGCAAACCTTGCATGAGTTTAAGGCGCTGCTGGGTCTGCAAGGCCTGAATCAAAGAGCGAATCAATATGTTGACCAACTGTTTAATATTTTTGACAAGAACAAGGTAAGATTTCTTTTCCTTTTGCTTCATTTAGTTGTAATTTTCCATCCCCTCCTTAAAAAAAAATTACTTGAATTAAAAAGTAGATCTCTCTAAATGAGGAGGTCTTCATGGAAGGCACAGCTTGTAGAGGAGTGAGTCATTAAATACTGTTAGCACTGACTGCGTGAAAATAATTGGGGGTGAGGCACTGAGCACTGGGAAATGTTCTACATGTAGTGAGTTCTTTTAAAAACTAAATTAAATCTCACTGTGTAATTCTCATGGCATTATTTAAATAAATCCAGTAAGTGCAGATTGATTTACAAAGCCTATTTTTCAAAGTATTTTAGGCATTGGTGACATTTTCTAGAAAAGCAATTTATGGAATTCTGCTTTTAAAAGTGAGATTAGATCTCGATTGGAAGATTAAATCAATGGAAATTAACAGACAATGTGCCTGTGGTCCAGTCAAAGAAGAAATGTTTCTTTAAAAAAAAAACTGGATTTTCATAACTGACCAGCTTAATTTGAAAATTAAAATTAATTTTGACAAACTTGGGATCCTTGCAGGGTTTTTTTGGGAAACCTTTGCCTTTTTCATGTTTTGTTTTGTTTTCCCCCAGTACATTTTTTTAAAAAGTTGAGTTTTAGGTTTTTCCCCTGAGCTGTTTGGGTTTAATATTGTTTGTTTTAATGTAAAAATTCAGATCAGAGCAAAGAAAGAATGATACAGGACAGAAGTCAAAAAAGGGACTTGAACAACAACCCATTCCAAATGCCTAATCTAGAATTATAAAGTGAGTAGTTTTGCAATAAACAAAAGAAATCTTGATTATGGTTTTTAAGCCCTCTCCTCCCCCCCCTTTTTTTTTTTGCTTATTATAAAACTCCACCTTACAGATAAGATTTTTAAAATCCTGCTTGTAAAAGAGGAAGTTTCATAATGGGCCAAAAGAAAAAAAAAAGGCCGTGTCCAAAAAGACAGGAGATGCTGCCTTCCAAGGATAAAGCTAGTGAGGGAAAAGGGACCAGAAAATTACTAGAGGAAAATTGAGTGTTACTTGAAAAGATTGCAAAAGTGAGAAATAGAAGAAGAAAAAAGGAAGATGGGATTAATGACATGGATAAAATCAAAGTCAATTGGTTTGCCTTTAAGATGTGAGGAAATTTATGATACCCCCTCAGGCCAGAGAATTTTCTAAATACAAAAATAGAAACAGTGACTGAACCTATGATTTCATTAATATAGGAAACTCCTGGAGGAGAAAACTCCCTGTACCCGTACAGGGCCGTTATTTTCTCTGCAATTTATAGTCTCAGAGTGTTGCCTGGAGAACTGAGAATTTAAGTGGCTAAGCCAGGGTCAGAGGCAGGATTTAAACCCAGATCTTCCTGGCTTCAAGACAGCTCTCAAGTCACTTTACCGTACTACCTATCAAAAATACAGAAATAAGAGGCTTCAAAGATGAAATCTTAAAACTGGTAAAAATTTAACATGCAAGGAGTAAGACTTTTTCAATCTATTTTATTATTTATTCACAATTTTTAGACACAAATTTAAGACAATTGGTGGGAGTGAGGGGAGAGATCTTTCCAATCATTGTTGTAAAGTTCCATGAAATCCCTACCCAAAAGGAGTTTGCAACCCAGTGGAAAGGCTAGTTGGACTTTCCCTGTATTCTTCACTTATGAACACTGAAGCAAATTTTAGACTTAGCATATCAATCAATAAACATTTACCAAGTGCCTACTATGTGCTAGGCACTGTACTGGGGATACAAAAAGAGGCAAAAGACAGTCTCTGCCCTCAAGGAGCTTACAATTTAACAGGGGAGATGACATGCAAACAAATATTTACAAAGCAAGCTATATACAGGATAAAAAGGACATAATTAACAGAGGGAAGGCACAATTAAGGGGGGATTAGGAAAGGCTTCCTGTAGAAAATAGAATTTTAATTAGGACGAAAGGAAGCCAGGGATGTCAGTGGGCAAAGATGGGGGGTGGGGAGAGTATTCCAGACGTGGAGGACAGCCACAGGGAATGTCCAGAACCAACAGAGGGAGGATCTTGTTCAAGGAATAGCCACGAGGCCAGTGTCACTGGATCGAAGAGTATGCATTGGGGAGTAAGGTGAAAGCAGACTGGAAAAGTAGAAAGGAGTGAGGTTATGAAGGGCTTTGAATGCTGGAGCATTTTGTATTTGATCCTGGAAGCCATAGGGAGCCACTAGAGTTTATTGAGTAGGGGAGTGACCACCAAGGAGTATGTGGCACCTGTGTGTGTGTGTGTGTGCCCGTGTGTATGTGTGTGTTTGTATATATGTGTGTGCCCGTGTGTGTTTGTATGTTTCACAAAATCTTTAATGTCTTTTACATAGTCTTGAATGGCCCCCCTTCCTTTGTGCTTCCTAGTCCTCCACTATCCAGCCTCTTTTGATGTTCCATTAGAATCTAGTTCGATAAAGAAGTGAGCTATACTAAGATTTAGTCATTTCCCCAAAGTGTTATCTTTCTGCGCCCGCCGTTTCTCTCTCATGTTGGCATTGTGAACCTACCGTGATTGTCAGCATTCCTATGCTAGAGACAAAATGAATAAAAGGAGAAGCTGGATTTGAGAGCAGGACCTGCTGTCAAAATGATGCCTACTGCTGAGGAAACACACATGCAGATAATGTGCAAACAGGCATCTCATGATTTACAAACCCTTTGTGTGAGGAGGAGCTCAGGTCAGGCGTGTAAGAGTTCAGTCCCAAACCTGGAGCCCAATTCCCAAGACATAAAAATTCTGAATACATTTGTTATAGAGATTGATATTGGCTTGGGTAGGGTTTGAATCCAGGCGGGGAAGCACAGATGCTTTTTTATCTGATAGTGGATCTCATTTCAAAATGGAGTTATATGTGCACATGTGTGTGAGTCAGAGAAAACCGAGAGGAAGGTCTTATACAACACAAGGACGTTTCTCATTGTCAAGTCAACACAAACAAGATCAGAGTATTTTGTTGTTATGTGTTAGAAAATAGGAAGATTGGTGATTCATTAAAATATGTGATTATAATAAAACCTAGTCTCTCTAGAACTCTGTGTGAATAAGCAGTGTGGCTGAAAAGCAAAAGACTTGGGGTCTAGTTCTGATTGGGCTGTGAACTAGTTGTTTCCTCTTCCATCAAATGAGATGGAGGGAAGAAGGGAGGAAGGAAGGAAGGAAAAGGGAGCAAGGAAGGAGGAAGGGAGGGAAAAAAGGAGGGAGGAAAAGAACAAGGATAGAAGGAGGGAGGGAGAAAGGAAGGTGGGGAGAAAGAGAGGTAGGGAAGAAGGAAGGAAGAAAGGGAGGGGAAGTAGAAAGGAAGGAGAGAATGAGGAAGGAATTGCTTTGGACTGGAAAGTTAGAGAGATGATGAGGTGGATCCTGGGGAAATAGATTGACACCTCCTCCCTAGGAATAATAGCAGACTTTATTTGATTATGGTTCATGGTTCCAGAACTGAAGGGGAGAGAAGGCGAGGAAGGGGAGAAGGAGGTCATGGAGGAGGGAAAGTGATGCCATACAGCAGCAAGACAGTTGGTGAGGAGGCTTAAGAGGTGTTCTGAGAGGAAGGAGTGAAATAAAGCACAGCGGGAGGGTTTTTATTTGTTTGTTTGGCTTGGGTTTTAGTCATGTTTTTTTTTCTCCTGAAATGGGAAGATCCCATCATCAATTGGGAAAGTGGAACCCCAGGTCAGAAATTTTTCCAGGGCATAGTCTCTGGTGTGTACAGCAGGGTGGATTTTTGGGGAAGTTGCCGAGGTGTTGGAATAAAAGCTCTAATTTTATAACTCCTTAATGAGCTGTTCCAAATAGCTGAGATTTCTCCCTGTTAACATCAAATTTACTCTCTTTTAATTTCATTTTTTGTGGATGGAAATCCACAAAGCTTAAGTTAGCTTTTTGTTGATGACTAAAGGTCATAAATATAAGTACACATACTGTGGTGTGATACAATGGTAAGTTCAAGGACTATTAACAGACAAGGGAATTTACATTAATGTAAACTCTTACTGTGTGCTAGGCACTGCACTCAGTACTTTACAAATATTATCTTAGGGTGATTCTCACAACAACCCTGGGAGGTAGGTGTTATTATAATACGCATTTAGAGTTGAGGAAACTGAGGCAGACAGAGGTTAAGTGACTTACCCAGGGTCACAGAGCTAATAAGTGTCTGAGGTCAAATTTGAGCTCGGGTCTTTATGATTCCAGGACCAGCACTCTAATCCACCATGACACTGTCTGACCTAGGATTATTCACCTAAATGCCCCAACCCTACCTACATTTGCTTTTGTAGTTTTTCTTTCTCCTAAAATGCTTGTCTTTAGAAGATCCTTTCCCTTTTCTTAAATTTGACGCTTCATTACTTCATTTCTGCACTGAGAAACCAGCTTCTTAAAACTGTGTAAAAACTAAATAGCAACAGGTTTTGAGTGGGAACTTCAAGAACTAGGCCATGAGTCAAGGACCTTGACTTTCATGCATGGATTTTGTGGCATCTCCTCTGGCTCCTTGGAGGAATTATTTTGTTTCCTTCCTGGTTCTCTCAGCTGGGTTTGAGATAGGTGAGGCTTCTGGATAACAGTATCACTGTTCTTGGGGGAGGGGGAGGAGGCATCCTCTTTTACTTCTAGAAAATACTTAAAAATCAAAATGCCTCATATTTATAAATGGAAATTGTTTTCCATTTTCAAGCTAAGCCAATCAGTTATGAAAAATGTATTATAGGAGATATTCCTTCTTTGGTTTTTACAAAGGTGCATTTTTCTTTTCAGCAACTGATATCATTGTGTGTGTGTGTCTGTGTGTGTCTGTGTGTGTGTGTGTGTGTGTGTGTGTGTGTGTGTGTGTGTGTGTAATTGTTCCTTTGTTCTTTGTCCTTTTGAAACTCTCAGCAAATTTGTGTTAGAAGTCTTGGGTAGATTTCAACTAGTTCATTCTCTGTCAATAGCATTTTTAAGAGAAAGAATATCACAATGTCCCCCATATA